GAGAGACTTCAGACCCGCGAGCCCGCGGGGAAGGGCTCCACCGGGGCTGCCGAGGGGGAAGGTCACCGCCCGCAGCTGCCCCGCAAGGCGCAGCCCTCTGTCCCCGGGCTGAGCTGGGGCCGTTGTCTTTCTAGCTATGACATGGTGCACTATGGCCACTCCAACCAGCTACGCCAGGCTCGGGCCATGGGAGATTATCTGATTGTTGGAGTCCACACGGACGGTAAGAGGTTTTCTCAGCTTTTCACCTCCTCCTGCCTCTAGAATCGCCCAGCGACGTTAGCCCCGAGAGAGCGGAGAGACCCCGATGCCAAGCAGGCTTCGTCCTGCAGCTGCTCAGGGAGCAGCAGCCTCCAAAAGAGAGGCGAACCTTCCCCGGTACGGGAGCAGAGCCGCCCCTGTCACACCTTCCAGAGCGAGGATTAGGTAGTTCGGAGCTTGCAGGCTTCGTTTGAGGGGCGATCTGTATTCTGTGCTGTAAAAACAATTGAGCCAGTCGCAAATCAGTCTGGTTTTGTTGGTGCAAACTGCAGAACTGATATCCCAAAACAAATTACTGTGTGGAGAAAACTCATTTCAAGCCCATCTGAAAGTTAAGCGCTAGGAACTAGTTCTTGTGCGTGAAGATGGATTTTAAACTGGTTTATGGATGCATATTTTCTAGCATGAACCAAGCGTAGCATGAAGCTATTGTTTAAAAGGGGAATTTCCCCTCGGGGGCTGCCAGGAGGCCCGGGTAGTCCCCCAGTAGGACTGGGTACAGGGGGGGCACTGGGACCTTCTGCCTTCCGAGTGATTTCCAGGGCCCTTGTTACACATGTAGGAAATGCGACGGAATTAAAATATTTTCTGATCTACTGGGGCTTCCTCCTCCACCACAAACCCAAGCAGAGGCCTGCAGTGAAGTTCACCTGCCCGTGAAATGAGTGAGGCTCCTGTAGGTGAGAGTCTTCGTAGCTGTAGTACGTGCTTCTAACTGGGTTTTTCTGTTTCTTGCCCAGAGGAGATTGCCAAGCACAAGGGCCCCCCTGTCTTTACACAGGAGGAGAGGTACAAAATGGTGCAAGCCATCAAGTGGGTGGATGAGATTGCTCCAGGAGCTCCCTATGTCACCACACTGGAAACTCTGGACAAATATAACTGTGACTTCTGTGTGCATGGTGGTGAGTGGTATTCCGAGGCGATAGCTGTACTCACGCAGGCCCTCCGGGGCTTGCGTGCTCTTGGTTTCCCTGCTGCAAACTGAGGAACGTTCCGGCTAGCGCTGGCCATCAGAGGATGCCTCGTGTGCAGAGGTCCGCCTTGCCAACGCCTGCGCTGGGCAGCATGGCTGCTCCCGTTCTGCTATTCCGGAGAAATACGTCTGTGTGCTAGGCACCCTAAGAGTGGCCAGACCCCTTGGTTTTACGCAGCCCTTTCACTTACAAAGGTGAAACGCGTTGTCTGACAACTATCCTGAGGTTGCCCTTAGCACCAGCAGAAATTTGTCTGTGGGGAAAATAGTAATTTACAAAACTTAAATGAGAAAAACACTGTTAAAAAGGTAAGTGTGCAGCAATACGATCATGTTTATATCTACTTACCCTGGGATGAGATCAGATCTGAAAAGCTGCTCTCTCTTTATCTGGCTGATAAGCTGTTCAAGGGCTTAGCTGACTGTGTGGTCAGAGACCTAGTTCTTATTATGAACATTTTTCAGTTGATAGTCACCGAAGAGAACCAGTGTTCTGAGGAGACAGAACTTGTGTACCCTGTCCCTTCCTGGGGCTGCTTGTCGTGTTCATTCAGCCTCAGCCCCTCCTCCCTACTCCTCTGAAGGTATTTTGTTAGTTTAATCAGGAGTAGTCTTTGCACTCATTTCATGTACGCTTCCTCATCTGATCCCAGCTGCCTGCTGTCGATAAGCCAAGTATTTCATTAAATGTAAATAAATCATTAACCTTCTGTAAGATAGATATGCTTTTTTCACGTGGACAGGGTAATTATCAAATTCCTTATCAACTTAATTACCTGCCCTGAGTGTGTTTGGGGTATGCAAACCCTTACTAGACCTGGTGAGGGATTATGGCAACAGAGAAGCGCTTGTGGCCTTTGCTCCGGTTTCCCTGCGTTTATCCCCTCTGCTAAATCATTCAGTGCTTCCACCTGAATAGTACCCTTGCACGCTGCAGTTTTGCCAGGCTGTGTTTATGCAGAAGATAAGTTTTGAAATAGCCACGCTTAATCAGGAAGGTGACAGACAGCAACCCCGCTGTTTCTGCCTCTCTCCTGGCACACGGAGCTGTGCCTGCAGCGTGTTCTCTTCTCCTGTCCCAGTGCCCTGAGGTGAGGGTGTGGGGTTTTGGCTTCCCTGAGCGTGCCACCCGACCGGGTGAGAGCGAGCACTCATGAGCTGCCGGCGCCTGTAACCTGGCTGTTCTGCCAAACGAAAGCCAGCTGAGGTTTTCACTTGCGAAGATTTAATACTATCACTAAAAGTACATGAGAGGTGTTTTTGTAGAGTGAGTTGGGAACCGTGCTGAAGATGAACTGGAACTAACTCTGTAGACGGGTAGCCTGATGTCGCTGTAGAAGTGCCATCACTGAGGGGAAGAACTGGCTGTTGGAGGACTGTTTAATTGACTGAAAAAGTTGCAATGTGAACCAACGGCGAAAACCGGTTCTAGAGAAGTTAAGGTTAAGGTGCTTTTTAATACTAAGACTGATGGTAGCTGTTTATTGTCATTCAGACAAATAATTCAGTTGTGCCTGCTGCTGGATTCACTGTAAGGGCAACCGGCTCAGATTTTCTGGACTACCTAAAAAATGGTGGAGCAGATGGTTAATGGTGTTTAGCATCCAGGAATGTGCTTGTCTCCACAGATAGGGTGGTCTTGCAAACCCCTGACATTTCCATGGGATGCAGGATGTATCCCACGTGTACGTGCAGAGATTCGGATTGCAGGAGTTCTAGTCTGGCTTATGGGCTGGACCCGTTAGCAATTACTGTCATTCTAAAAGAGCTTTTGCGCAGGAAGGCTTGGGGCGCAGTTCTGAGCTTTTCTCTCTCTGCAGACGACATCACCTTAACGGTAGATGGCAAGGATACCTATGAGGAAGTGAAGACAGCGGGGCGATACAGGTAACCCGTTGCTGCTTACCTTCTTATCCTGTTTTGGGCAGTTTCTGGGAGTTCATGCCCTGAAGGGAAGTCAGATGAAACACAGCTATCTTCAGGTCACGCTTTAATTTTGCTATAACATGTGTCAGAGCTTCGGTTGCTCCCTCCATGTTGGCTTCCGGGAAGTGCCACAGACTAGCAGCTGACTGGCGGGGCCTTCATCTTCCTGGCAGATGCTAGTTCTGGTCTGGAAGCCTCACTAGGAGTCGGCTCTGTTGGGAAGTCTGTGCAAGGTAAGTTTTCCTCATATGAGCAGTTGCTGTGGCATTGAAGAAGATGCAGAGGCTCAACAAATAAACACTATACTTTACATCAAGAGCAGGTAGAAGGAAGACTTTCTCAGGACGGTTCCTGGTTTGGATTTACCAGGTGTCACGGGTGCTCCTGTGGTAATGGCGGGAAGAGAAAGAGCCATATGCTCCTGTGGCTTCTGCTTTATCCTTTGCTTGTCTCCCTGCAGGGAATGCAAACGCACCCAAGGTGTGTCCACTACCGACCTCGTTGGCCGCATGCTGCTCATGACTAAGGCTCACCACAGCAACATAGTGAGTCAGAGGACTTTGGGTGGGAGTTTGGAGTCCAGGGCATATGCCAGCTCTTTCCTTTTGCTGTCCCAATGGCAGTGGAGCTCCAGGGTCCGGCTCCTAGGTGCACGGAGAACTGGCAAGCTGATTATGGGCAGTGGCAGCAAAACACCCTGCTTATGTTTGCTTCATCTTGTCCAAGATCACCGTGCGATCTCAGCCCATGCTGCTTTGGAAAGATGTGGGGGGATAAAAGCTTCTATCCCTCATGATTGGTGTGGGCTTCGGGAACATTATGGGAACTACAGGCTAGCCTATGGCTTCTCCGAGGGGGAAACTACATAGTGCAGCCACTGTCATCTCTCAGCCCAGTGCTGCCAGAATTGGAAAGTCCTCTTCCTTCCCACTGAGCTGCATGCTTCTGCCTTCTGCTGTCTCTAGTCTTATCAGACCTTTCTTGAGTCTCCTCAGCTCACTACCTGGTAGATAGCTAACCTAACCAAAGGAAAATAAAGGAAGTAGTTTTATGTTGGTTAATGAGTTGAATTGACTTGGTAAACAAGCAATCCAGTGAATGGAATCACCTAGATAACAGCAGGTACAAGACAAGGGACCCACAAGAGAATTCAGGGGTAGAGGGAGATCTTTTAGTGTGCTGAGCTGTTAGATTGGCTTAGCTGTAATATATAAGTTCACACCAAGATCTGGCACGGTGCTGCTAGCTGTCTGCAGAGATCTGAGCCCAACTCTAGTGGAGTGTCTTTGGAAGAAGGAGGGACGCTGTCCTGCTAGGGGCTTGTGTAGTTGAGGGAGGACATAGGTGTGCAACGCTATCAGGTCTGCAGGTTGGGCAAGAACCGCCGCCACTGTGTGGTACCAGGCTGAGATCAGATGAGGACACGTTTCGTCTGACTCATGGTGGGACACAACTCTGGTTTAGATATTAACTAGTTTGTCAGCATTCAGTGCCAGGGATCAATGGTGTGCAGTCTGAGCCTGGACTTCCCAGCACTTCTGCCACGCACAAGCATATTCTTGGTTGGATGAGCTATATGAGTGCTTAAACATTTTGACTCTTTATCTCCCCTCAGGATGAGGACCTAGACTATCGGAAGCACACTGACAACTTTGGGAAGGTAATGTGAGTTCTGGTTGTGGACGTCTGGTTGTTGTCCTGTCTGAGAAGCATTCCAAATGTGCTTTCTGGCCTGTGTCGCAGGCTTGTTTTTTCCTCCATGTTTTGTAGTAACCTCAGTAAATGTCTGCTGCCCCTGTTAAGTAGCTACTGTTGTCAGTGAAATAGGCACGTGTGGCCGCACAGGACCCGCGAGCGAACTGTCCTTCAGCGATGCCATGGAGCTGCTGCGCCCATTGAGCCTTTGCTGTTTTCCTGGCTTGCTTGTAAATTCTTTATCGCCGCTTCCTTTGGGACCCGAGTGCCCGCGGTTCCAGCCTAGGGACAGCCTCTGTGGATGCTCTTTTTAGTGTTCACGTTTTTAAAGCGTTGCATGAGGTCTGGGAAGCGTTTGTGTAGCAGGCACGTAGCTAGCATGCTGTACTGCAGAATTCACATGCCTGGTCTTCAAGTAGCAGAGCAGTCCTCCTGGAGTTCTCTGCTGTCGTGTCCAGCTCATGTCTTGGGCTACCTTTAAAGAGCTATCAGCCCCCTTTTTTTTTTCTCCTGGGTGTTGGATTGTCCCTGATTAACGAGCCCCTGGACCTACAGCTTGAGTAAGTCTCTTATTCACAGGGGGTTTGCTGACCAGGCTGAATCATCCTCTTTGTTCTCCACCACGTTGGGTTTTTTGAGCAGGTTTTACAGGGCCTGTTGCTCCAGCATGGCTGTTTCCTGGTGCTTGGGTCTGGGGAGAATGCCTGGGCACCAGGTACCCTGCATGTCAACTGGGCATCCCTTCTGCATGCTGCTGTTCGTATGGCTTGCCCTGGTCTGGCTGAGTTGTCTTTGTTCTTTCAAGCCTTGTAGAGCAGGTAGCTTTAGGGGACCGAAGCGGGTGACTCAGTGGCTGTATCCAAAACTGCCACACAGCGGGGATAAAGCTCCGTCTTCAGTTTCACCGGCGCTGGGATCTGGCCCTCGCTGGAGCTCTGGGTGATCCCTTCCCAGCTTGGCGTGCCATCAGCCAGGTGAATGGGTAGGCTGTCCTAAGGCCTGAGAAGAGCGTAGGTAGGTTGTGTGTTTTCTCCCTTGGTAAGCCTTGCTTCTTCTGGAAATCCGAGACTGCCCTGTTGCCTTCTTCCTTCCTGAGCTTTCTTCTCGGCATCTCCTTAGCTGGCTGTTGAGGGGACGATTTAGACTGTGTTTGACAGCGAGAAGGGCTTTTGTGAGATTGCACAAATATTTGGTGCCAGGAATGTAGAAGGTCCAAGCTGCTAAGAGTTGTGATACTTGCTGCAAATTAAGGCTAACAAATTGCCCACAGCTGCATTCTGTGTGTTGTCCAAACCCCCTCCTGGAGCTTGAAAAGGAAAGGTGTGTGGTGTGTGTTTTCCCAGGGGCCAAAAGGTCACAGTCCCTGGACTGGCGTCTCTCAGTTCCTACAGACATCTCAGAAGATCATCCAGTTTGCATCAGGGAAGGAACCACAGCCAGGAGACACTATCATCTACGTGGCCGGAGCCTTTGACCTGTTCCGTATCCTTGACTCTGTTTTGTCAAGAAAGTAGCATTGCTCTTTTTGTTTGATGCTTTCATGTTTTAAGGCACCAGACTAGGATATTTACCTTTCTTTTTTTTTTTTTTCTTTTCTTTTCTTCTCCCCTCCTGTAGGTGTGCATGTGAGGGGAGGGGGCAGGAGTTTTTACTGGGGGCCAAAAGGTCACAGTCCCTGGACTGGCGTCTCTCAGTTCCTACAGACATCTCAGAAGATCATCCAGTTTGCATCAGGGAAGGAACCACAGCCAGGAGACACTATCATCTACGTGGCCGGAGCCTTTGACCTGTTCCGTATCCTTGACTCTGTTTTGTCAAGAAAGTAGCATTGCTCTTTTTGTTTGATGCTTTCATGTTTTAAGGCACCAGACTAGGATATTTACCTTTCTTTTTTTTTTTTTCTTTTCTTTTCTTCTCCCCTCCTGTAGGTGTGCATGTGAGGGGAGGAGGCAGGAGTTCTTACTGGCAGTTTCTTAGTCACAGGACACTGAGAAAGGAGCTACAGCTCCTCTCTAGAGAGGTTTGTGGCTGTTGGAGGGTTTGGGGAAGACAGCTGGATACTCTCCGCACTCTAGTGATCACACTCTGGTCCCTCTTGAGGACTGGCTGTCATAGACCAAGTGACTGCACAGGGCATCTGGAGCAGACGCTTCATCCCTGGGACAGTTTTTGAGGCATTGTGCCAGAACAACCGAAACAGGTAGAAATTCTGGACAAAGTTGAGTCCATGTAAGGTGGAGCTGAAAACATGTCTGGCTTTTGCCCAGAACCAGTGGAGCCTGAGGAGAAGGGAGGCAACTGTTCTTAGGACGTAGGCAACAATTAATGCAAAAATAAAATCCTTGGGATTCCTGTCTCCCACTGTGGTTTTTCAATGTATCTGTTTCTGTCTTCCTTTCCCTCTTTTCCATGTTAGCTTCAATTCCTTAAGCAGGTCTACAGATATTGGGCATGTAGATTTCCTGGAGAAGGTTCACCAGCTGGCAGAGAAACCCTACATCATCGCTGGGCTGCACTTTGATCAGGTCCGTATATAACATTGTCCACAGACAGAGCAGCTTGGCAGTTGTTCTTTCTGAAACAAGCAGGCTGTGCTCTGGAAGACAGGAAAAGGATGTATTGGCCAATACAGGATTTTCATGTTGGGAGAAAGCAAGAGGAAAAGGGGATTGCTTTGTTTCTCTTCTAATTGTGCCTGGTGCTTTGCCTTAGGAAGTAAATCGCTACAAAGGGAAGAACTATCCCATCATGAACATCCATGAGAGAACACTCAGTGTCTTGGCCTGTAGGGTAAGTGCCTGTAGGGTAGGTGCCTCTGCGCCATTCCAGAAATTGCCTGGAGCTGAGTGGTGTTCACCTGTAGCCAACAGTCTTGCATGAGTTCTTTGGTGTGCACGGAGAAGGCAAAGAGAAGACTGATCACTTTAGCCTGCCGGAGGTGCTGGTGTGCTCTCAGGAGAAATCACTAGGCTCCTCTGTCGTCCTGGCTCTCCTGAGCTATTGAACCCGTCCGCCGGCAGTGAAAAGGCAGGATGCCTTGCAGAGTGCTGCTCTGCTCTGTAGCTGTGCTCTCGTAGAAAACTCTCCGCTCCCTGCAGCAGGGGAGAAAATTCCTGGGAAAGAAGCATGGGGAGGCCCAGAAACGTGCACCCTGAGCAATTAACTTTTGGATTTGCTATATACACGCTACCAGAAAGCATGTTCTTTAGTGGAACAAAAAGATGCTGTGTGACAAGCAGTAGCTGCTAAACCCACTTTCCTGTTCCTTTATTTGAGTTCCTAACTCTCTAACCAGATGACCTGGCCAAGTCTGTTTAGGAAGCAGGCTGGCCTCTGTTTTGGCTCTTTTTTCTTTTTTCCAAATCCGGAGTCTACCCCGTTTCTTTTCTAGTACGTCTCGGAAGTGGTGATTGGAGCCCCCTACGCTGTCACCGCTGATCTGTTGGATCACTTCAGGGTGAGAACCTTTGCGTACAGACGTACATGAAGATGTTGGGGTGTGATGTGCTTAAAGCGGTGCAGGAAAACACAGGGGTGTAGAAGAGAGATGGTCCTGCTCAGCAGGATTACAGGGAGCTCTAGCTGCACTGCCAGGCCTGGTACAGGAGGGGTGGCTTTGCTGATCTCCAGGCTGTGCCGCAGTGAGTGCAGTGGCAGGGAAGGTCCCTGTCATCTTTTGGATCTTGTCAGCAACTTTGCGTCTTTCTCCAGGTAACACTTGTGTGTCATGGGATGACTGAGGTGGTGCCAGACAAGGATGGTTCTGATCCGTACGAGGTAAGCTACTAGCTGCTGTTGGCCGTGCTTCTTTATCATCATTTCATAGATCCAGAATGGCTTTGTTCGTGTTCCTGAGCTGAGAATTTGTATTGCAGAGGATGCTACCCAAGGAAGTCCTTGGCAGGTGCTGCTGGTTTTCATCCGCCCTGCGGGTAGCTACTTGGAGCAGAGCCTGTAAAGCATTCGCAACAGCTCCATTCTTTTAGTCACTGTTTTGTTTTGCCTGTTTCTGATGCCTTCATGGCAGAATGAGAAACCCTGTAATCTTTGCTCAGTGCCAGTCCTGGGCAGCCTTGCTCAGCTCCCATATACGTGAAGCTTTGCTTTCAGCAGTTAACTTATTCTGCCTCCTAGGAGATCCTTTTGTGTCGTGCCTGGCGGGGTGCCCACAGGACCTGCCGTGGCTTCTGCTCAGCTTTCACTACTGAGCTGTAAACCCAGAGGTCCTGCGTGTTTTTCACAGCAGAGTCTGCTGTGTTTGTTCACAGGAGCCGAAGAGACGTGGCATTTTCCAGCTGGTGGACAGTGGCAGCAATCTCACCACAGATTTAATTGTGCAAAGAATCATCAAGAACAGGTTGGCTTTCTTCATCAACCAGTTCTGTTGCATACTGTTCTGTCCAGCTTCTCTGAGGACTAATTGGTGGGATCAAACAGGAAGAGAAGGGGTTGTCTAAAGGCACGGAATCAGTGAACTGGTCCTTCATCTTCCACAGTTTGGGCAGGCTGCTTAAATGTGGATGTCCTGGACTGTACAGGAAAAGGAACAGTTAAGCTCTACTATGTCAGAATGTGCTTCACAGCACATTTTATTATTTTTCCCCCTCCTCCGTTAATGATAAAATGTCTGTGCTGTATTCCTGGGGATTTAGCATGTTGCTTCTTTCAGAGCTTTGCTCTTTTCGGCCTGAGCCCTTCACCTTCAGTGAACCTTGGTTCAGGTCAGTGGTAATTTTGATTTCGGTATTACAGCACTAAGTCATCTGTCCCAGGACAGACCAAGTGTGGAATAGCAGCATCTTCTGCAGAGGGAGAAATAAGTAGTGTTTGGCCAGTGTGGGAGCCTAGGACTTCAGAGTGATGGTAACAGTTGTGGGAAGCTCTGGTGCTGGCTGTGGACGAGAAGTCTGGGGGTTACTGGTGAGGTTTCTGAAGTACTCTCAGAACAAAGCAGCATAGGAGTAGGCAGTGGTCCCCTGCTCCAGGTGCTTTTAGTCTGCTAGAGAGAGGGATGGATGAGAATCTCGTGGCATTTTGTGATTGATGCAGGCTGGAGTTTGAAGCTAGGAACCAGAAGAAAGAAGCAAAAGAGCTGGCTGTGTTGGAGGCCATGAAGAGACTGGAAGAGGAGAAGCACTAGGCCAGCAGAGAGCCGATGCGTGGGTCGCAGAGTGCCGCAGCCTCACCCTCTTGAGGAGCAGACGGCTCTTTGAGAGGGGACCCCTGATCGGGGACGCCGCTGCTGGCATGCAGGATGTGCTGCCCTACCCTCTTCTGTCCTAGCTCCTCCTGCACTAATTATGCAGACATAATGAGTCGGGATCCTGCTGCCTAGCTTTTCCTCCGTTAATCAGCCCCCATCCCCTTTCCCAGGAGGAGATTTGACAAAAGAAAAAAAAAAAAACGGTTTTAATTATAACTAATGTTTTAACATGTTGATGTGCTTTTACCTTCTGCCATTTCTGGCTTTTAGTAGGAGGGAAATGGAGCAGCCGCCCAGGCCTCCTCTGCCCCTCCACGTTCGGCTGTCCTGACCGGAGCCTGCGTTCCAGAGCAGCCCTTCGGGCGGTGGTGGGAGCGGCTGGACAGACTGGCGAGAATGGCCTCCCCGGGGAAGGGATGTGGCACCCGCAGCTCCTCCTGCGAGCTTTCCGTTAGGGATGCTGGGCCATCGGCGTGCCCGCTGCTGGAGGTGCTGACGGGCCCTGTGCTCTGGGGTTCATCGTGCTGCCTCTGCACAAATACCAGACCCAAAGCTGCTTTGGGTTTGGTTGGATAAAGCCTCTCTCCACTGACTGGTGCTAGCGAACCGTTTGCTGCCCCAGCAAGAGGCAGCGGCATGGCAGCTGCTGAGAGGGGTGGGTGGCTGGTGGCACAGGGACCCTCAGTTCTGCGGTTTTCCTGCCAGGTTGAGGGATTTCTCCACACGAGGTGTGGGAACCCTGGGGGCTTTTGCCAAAGGCTCGTCCTGTCTCCAGGCAGCAGGACCCACTGCTGCTCAGAGCCCTGCTTGCTGCTGCCACCGGAGTCCACCTTGTGCCTGATGGGTTACCCAAGGGAGGGACCTTGTCAGCGGGAATTTCACGGCTTGTTTTCTGAGGGCTGGCACGCAGCAGGCGTGCCCCTGGAGGGAGGTGCAGGGCCTGAGGAGGATGGGTGCTGGGCTGAGCCCCTTTCTGCCTCTTACATTCCAGGGTGCTGTGGTGGGTGTCCTGGGCCGCTCCCTGCGCTGTGCCGGACGGTTCTTCCGCGCCAGTTCTGTTGTCCTCTCTGTTGTAAACTTCTGTTGCTGATCATTAATAAAATGTTGAAGAGTTGTGTACTGGTCTCTTTGGGGCTTGAGCCTGGGTAGCAGAAAGGGGCTGGGCCCCCGGCTGGAGACTCTCTCTTACAGCGGCTTTTCCCGGGAGCCGTGGTGGGAGCCGGGGAGAGGCCGCTGTGGCCCGAGAACGAGCTCCATGCCCCTGGGCAGCCCAGCCTGGGCTCTGGGCCGTATTGGGTTTGTCCTGGGGCCAGGGTTCGGGATCACTCTGGCTAGAAGCCGTGTGTTGGCAGTGTGGGAGGAGGCTTTTGCTGAATTCACTGGGAAATTAAACTAGACCTCACGTGGTTCCCTCTCCCCTCTAAGTTCCTTTTGCTTCAGACAGTCTAAAGCTGTACCCTTAAAAAGCATAGTCTAGGACTAATCAGTGATTCATTCTTGCTCGTATCTCGGAAACTGGGGGAAACCCTTGATTTATTTATTCATGCATGCAATCATTAGCAATCATTGCAATCAACTGGTAGGAAATACATGGTGGCCTCTAACATATCTAGCCATTTATAGCTGGAAGTTTTGCTGTATCACTGGGATCGCACTGTATTGCAAAGAGGTTCAGCTCTACAATGAGCACGTAGCCAATGCAGGAATAATCTTGTCCTCCTTAACGCAGCCATAGTGTTTATCCTCTTCAGTGCCTGTGAAGAGATCTGCAGAAAAAAAAGAAAATTAAAAAACAGGCTGACGTCGGCCATACTAATAACATAAAATGGGCTTCAAATCATTTAAGCACTTTTCTAACATTAATTCTCCACAATTGCCTGTGAGCAGCTATTGTGAAGAATTACAGCAGCTGAGTGAGCCAGCTTTCAACTGTGTCTCAGCGGGAAGATTTTTTGAAAACTGCCAACTTGCCTCCTAGGGCTAAGGTTTGGGAATTTTATGGGCTTGTTTTTAAATAAGTTTCAGACCTTTGGCTTATTGTGGATTAACATAGCTCCGTTGCAGTCTACCACAACATCCAGATTTTCAAAGGTATTTCGATATGTACCGGTACAAATAGATAGCACAATTTTAAGCAGACAAACTTTCCGTCTTTTGAAACAGATGAGCCCTGACAGGCACCGTGTCCACATTCTACTGCTTAAAGGCTTTTGAAAGTACGGAGCTAAATCTGCAACTTTTATGTTAAAAAGTTAACTGTGAGTGATACAGCATTGCTGTTATGGTGATGATTCAAATTTATCCCACTTGACATTTCGTGTCTGTTTAAAGAATGTAAGCAGGAAGGCTTATCCTGTTATAAAAATACACACCTGTAGGTATATCTTCTTTTTTTGGCATCACAAATGGCCAGTGGGTAACTGGAAGAGTTTATGATTAATACTTATATTTTACAATCCTATACATTCCTTACCTCACTACATCACAATTTTTAAATGTAGTGCTAAGTTGATACTGCATGCAGAACGCCCAAGGAAGAGAACGATGACCGTACCGCAACCCTAAGGTGCACGGAGCACTACTGAAACGTGTCATTTGGTCACCAGTTGGCTCGTGAGTAGTGCCTGGCTTCTGAGCTGTGCTTTGGAGTGTATTTTCCCAGTGAACTCTGTGATGTGTATGATAAACAGAGGCAATAAAGCAAATGATGCTGGCTATTACACTGATGTTGAAAACCATAAACAGAACTAATAATCCATGCAAGCTCTGTGAAAATGTTCTCTGTTAGTGTTTACCAGCATGTGTACTAAATAGTAAATTCCACTTAAAAAATCAGCAGCTAGCGAATTATTACAGCTGAGATACTGCAGAACAGGCTCAGCTCCTAGCAGGTCAGCCTGCATCTTAAATATCTCAAGGATGACACCTATGAGTTTAATCCTGCCACAGTCCTACGGAGAGCTAAGGGAGCAAGTACAAGACTTAAACAGATGAGATGGAAAAGGAGCACAAGCAGACAGGAGAGAAACAGGAGCAATCTGAAGCAACATTAATAAGAACGTTGTGCAGTTGCCAACTTCTATCCATATAGCAGGTAACCATAACCAAATGTTTTATTAACACGAACAGAAGTACAGTGACACAGTTGATGCCTGGGACCTTTCAGCACAAAGTACTTCCTCCAGCCATCGGTTATTCTCTCCTCTTCCAGTTTGTGGCTCTGCCTTTTATGAAGAAAGAAATACGCACTGTAAAAGAAATCTATATACCGATTGCAGGGGAGGCAAAACCGTTAGACTGGATGGACTAGATCCCTGTTGCAGTGTGGGAGGCAATGCGGGTTCAGCCAGTGTTCAAGGAACTGTTCTTCCGATGCCTGCTCCAAGCGCTGGAGGTAAACCAGATACTCCTATTTAAAGAAAAGAAAAAGTAATTTAATGATGTAACCACTCAAGTCTAATGTCAGGCCGAGGAACCAGGAGAATTTTACAGCTTATGTAAGAGCAATTAATTTACCCCTTAAAATTATCAAATATGGTGAAATGGTGTTGCCAGTCAGCTTGCCCCAACCTAGCAATATTTAATGAATGGCATCATCACCCAGATCAGTAAAGGTGTTGAGAAGAATTTTACAACAATATTCATAAATTAGGAATTCTGCATACACATTTCTTGTTTGCATGTTGACACAGAAGCCTCTGTTGGTCCTGAGGGTACAGGATTCTCACAGACAGGCCTGTTGTAGCCTCTTCTGAAAATTGATTCCTG